CTGGTCATTTTAGACATCCCAACTTTTTTTTTTTTTTTAACTGTTTTATCTTAAGATTTCCATTCTCCCGAAAATCCTAATCATTTCCCCATCATTCAGCTCCATTCATGGCTGGAGAAAGATATCCATGACAGCTTCCTTGACATCATATTGTCTTTCTAATAACAAGGTCACACAAGAAGCCCATGTGGCAGGAGCCTCTTTTATCTCAGCATCAACCACCACTTCGATCAAAGCCATAGCTTTAGGAGAATTTTAGTATCAGTATCATCATTTAACAATCCAAAGTAGCTTGCACTGTCATTTCAGCAACCTCAGAGAAAGTATTAGATTTAAGGGTAGAGTTGGACAACTCTCTATTCGGGGTATGTGTTATGCACTCCTGCCTTTATCCAACTCACCAGATTGGGAGTTTGTTCCTCTGTCCACTTTTCCGCAAAAGCTGCAGCAAACTGAGAAACCTGAGTAAGACTGGACATGCTCTTCCATTCAGCAGACTCTAATATAAGGGAAGTAGTTCTTGACACCCCTGTAAAAATCTATTTTAGTAGGGGTTTGGAAAAGAATTGTTTATCCTGGCCCACAAAGTGGCTTAACTCTTTTGCTTAATATCCTCATGTTTCAGTAGTCCTTTGATCCTCTCCCCCTTTTTTAGTGATCGTCATTTGGACAAGAATATCTCCCCAACTCCTTATAGTCCTTCCCTTTACAAAGTAAATCATCAAGTAAAAGTCTGAGGCTCTGGCAGACTTGGGTGTGCTGGGTGAGCTCTATGATTATTTTTGGGATGCCGGGTAGTCTAGTACTGACTCTTGGTCAGGATAAGAATGAGATGGAATAACTAAATATTTGTAATGTGCAGTTTAAATTTTAGAGATCCCCTGGTAGCACGCAGGACCAGCTTGTTCACATTGTTTAAGGATTGTATATTGATGACTTGCAAATAGTTGAACTGTGCACATAGACTGTCTTGGCTAATGACCAATGAGGCATAAAATAAATATATTATATTTCTTTATACTAGCAAAAGTTAGGATAAAATTCCATTTATAACAGTATCGAGAACATTAAATATGTAGGAAGAAACTTTACAAAATATTTAAAGGCCTTTACATACGTTAAAATTTACAGAACATCTAAATAAATAGAGTTATATACCATGTTCATGGATTAGAAAACTCAATATAGTTAAGTTGTCAGTTCTCCCCAATTGATCCATACAATAGATGCAATCCCAACCAAAATCACAGCAGTATTTTTTTGCAGAAATTTATAAGCCAATTTTAAAATATATACTAAAATGGGAAGGAAGTGGAAAGGACAAAACAATTTTGAAAAAGAAGAGCAAAAATGGAAGTAACCTGATCTCAAGGTTCTTACAATGTATCCAAGACAATGTGGTCTTTGAGTAAAGATAGAAAAATCGATCAATGGAACTTAATACAATTCAGTAATAGACCCAAACATATGTATAATAAGTTGATTTTCTACAAAGACATCAAAATATTTCAAAGGGGAAAGTATAGTCTCTTTAAAAAATGATGGGTAACTGGATATCTGCATGGGGAAAAAATAAACCCCCATCCCCAACCAAAAAACTCCCAAGCAACCAAACTAGCTCAAATGAATGATCAATGTAATGTAAAGTTTTATTATAAAATTTCTAGAAAAAAATATAAGAAAAACTATCATCTTGGAAAAGTCAAACATTTCCTAAGGCACAAAAGGCAATAACCATCAAAAAAATGAGAGGTGATCTTCATCAAGATTAAAAACTTTTGCTTTTTGAAAGAAAACATTAAGAAAATGAAAAGATATTCAACTGATAGGGAGAAATTATTTGCGATACACATATCTGATAGAGGATTTGTATCCAGAATATGTAAGGAACTTACAACTCAAACACAAGAAAACAAATACCCAGCTCAAAAACGGGCAAAAGATTCAAAGAGACTCTTCCTATAAGATAATATACAAATGGCCAATAAGCAAATACTCAACATCACTGACTTTTAAGGACATTCAAATTAAAGTATAAGGAGACATAATTCACAAGCTGGAATGGCTGAAATTAAACAGACAAGTTCAAGTTTTGGCAAGGATGTGAATTAATTAGAACACGTAACATTCCTGGTGGTAATGTAAAAGGAAATGACCCTTTTGGAAAAATCAAGTTTTTTCTTAATGTAAACATACGCTTACCACGTTAGCCAACAATTGTATTGTTAGGTATTTACCAAAGAGAAATGAAAATATATGCTCAGGAAAAATATTAGGCAAGAAATTTCATAGCATCTTTACGCACTAGAACAAATAAACCACCCAAATTTTCATGAACAGAATAGATAAACAAATTATGGCATATTCGTATAGTGGAAACCTTTTTAACAATAGAAAGAATAAACTGCTGGTAAATGCAACTGCACAGATAAATCTCAAAACATGTGAGTGAAAGAAACCATACAAAAAGTAGTATATATTGTATGACTTCATTGAATTCTAGAAAATATAAAACTAATCTGTTGTGATAGAAGACACCGATCAGTGTTTGCCTGGGGCTGGGTTTGTAGGAGCTTTTATTAGCTGCAAAAGGCATATGAGAACTTTCTGGAGTCATGCATATATTTTGTATTTTAATTGTGGTGGTGGTTATACTGGTACATACAGTTGTCAAAACACAATGAGTACCCTTAAACGAAGTGTATTTTATTGCATGAAAATTATACCTCAATATAGTTGATTTTACTATTTGTCTTTTGTTTGTTTCTAGCTTAATTCTACTTAAACATCATATTTTTAATGATTTCAGTCCTTTGAAAAACTTTTGTATCTCATTTTTTGTATAACATGTGATCAGTTTTGGTAAATGTCCTGTATGCCCTTGGAATAATGTGTAACCTGTGGTTTAAGGCGCATATTTACTGTCATACCATTCAAATATTATAGATATTTACTGACTAGTTTTGCTGGATTGCTCTATCAGTTTCTGAGAGAATGATAAAAAGGTGTTTTCTGGTTACTGTTGCTGCATAACCAATTATTTCAAAATAAAGCCACTTAAAGCAACTGTTTTATTTTACATAACACAGATCACTGTTCATTTTTCCCCCAGCTTCTCATCATATTTTCCTTACTTCCTTTAAGACCTCGTTGACAGCATTGCCCAGGCCCATCAGGTTTCTGCTAATAGTCTCTTTAAGCCCTTACAGCTTCTGCCTGTTACTTTGTCCCCAAAACAATGTCACGTGTTTTAGTAGCATCCCAATTTGGGGCTATTACAAATAAAGATACTATGAACATGCATCTACAAGTCCTTTTGAAGACAAACATTTTCATTTGTCTTTAGTAAATACTCAGTAACATGGTAAGTGTAAGTGTTCTGGTTACTATTGCTGCATAACAAATTTCCCCCCTAAATCTAGCAGCTTAAAACTCCTTTTTTTTTTTTTTTTGCTTGTGATTTCCTGGGCCACGATTCTGGGAAGGGCTCAGTTTTCAGTTCTCTCGTGGGATCTCTCATGATGTTGCAGGGGCTAACGTCATCTGAAGACAGGGGCTGGGAATCCAGGAGGTTCACTAACATGGCTGATGGCTGGAAGTTCAGCCGGGTTGTTGGCCAGAGAACCTGCATGTGATAGTCTCTCCAGCATGTAGTCTCGACAAGCAGACTTCTCATAAAGCGAATGTCCTAAGTGATTTCAGGGGAGGCTGCACGACTTTTCCGACCTAGTGTTGAAGGTCAAGTAGTGTTAGTTTCACCGCATTCTATTTCTTACAAGCAACTCACTAAGGTCAACCAAGATTCAAAAGGAGGAGGCATAAACCCCACCTCTCAAAGGATGCCGTATTAAAGATTTTGTGGCTATGTTTAAAAAACACCATAGGTATATTAAATATGCCACTGTGATTGTTGCGTTTTAAATTTCTACTTTTACTTCTGTCAATTGTGGCTTAGGTGTCTAGGACTTAGTGTACATGAATATTAGACCTTTTCAGCATGTCTTTATGTCCTTTTTTATATTTTCCATTTTCTGTCTTTCTGTGCTTCAGTTTATATTTTTTTCTGGTCTTCCATGTTACTATTTCTATCTCGTGCTGATCTAATGTGCTATTACACTCATCCTTTGGGTTCTTATTTCAAATATTGACTTTTTCTGGTCTAGATTTTTAATTCGATTCTCTGTTATCATTTCTCTGCCATAACACTATCTCGTTGTTTAATTCCTTCAACATTTCTATCATAGTAATTTAAACTCCCTGCCAGGTAACTCCAATAGCAGGATGCCTTGTAAATTTCTTATAATGCCTCTTCTTTCCCCTGGTTTTTCATCAAATCTCTTCTCTTTTATACTCGAGTATTTTTGATGGACAGGCATTGTAGATTGAAAATTGTAGAAATCTTTCAGAAAGCATTTTATTTTGCTTCCTCCGGGCACTTGATTTGCAGGTAAATCACCTTATTTGAAAGGAAGTGAAGTGATTAGAAGCTGTGAGCAATAGTCTACTTTCAGTTCATTTTTCCTTCTGTGGTACAAGTGTTCTGGTTGACGAGCTCCTCCTCCTTGGCTGACCCTGAGCTACACTTTGGGTTCCCAGAGCCCTGTGAGTCTGACAAATCTCTGCTGAGCTTTTCAGAGTCTCAGCTATTGCCTCTGATGAAGGCCTCAAGGGGAAAGTGGCTCACCTCCGCCCTTTACTTCTCTCTGAGAGCTTGGCTCCAAAAATTCTCACTGCTTTGTAGCTCTACCACACTTTCAAACACAATTGATATATTCCTGCTTTTCTAAACTCATTGTTAGTGCAATGTTTGGCTTAAAATAGAAAATCTGGCATTGCCTGAAGCAGAACTCTCCATAAAGAAGGTGAACTCTAAAATTATGATAACATGACTACTGTGTTACAGCTTTCATCTCAGACCCCATCTCTAGGTTATTATTTACTTTGATTCAATTTCCTGTTCTTCAACCCTACTAACCCTCTGACCACTGTGGTTTCTGCAGGAAACCAGACCCAGCTGCAGGCCCAGTGCAACGACTCTGGGTCTGAACCAGCAGGCTCTGCAGCCTCAGAGGAGAGCGCTGCCAACTGCTCAGGTGAGGGGTCCCACAAGGCCAGAAAACCCTTCTCATTCCCTGTTAAATGCCCCATTAGCATGACTCTCTCTCCTCAGAGAGCAGACAGCTCCGCCTGGTGGATGGGGGTGGTCCCTGTGCCGGCAGAGTGGAGATCCTTCACCAGGGCTCCTGGGGCACCATCTGTGATGACAGCTGGGACCTGAACGATGCCCACGTGGTGTGCAGACAGCTGGGCTGTGGAGAAGCCCTCAACGCCACAGTCTCTGCTCACTTCGGGGCGGGATCAGACTCCATTTGGCTGGACGACCTGAACTGCACAGGAAAGGAGTCCCACGTGTGGAATTGCCCTTCCCGGGGCTGGGGGCAGCATGACTGCAGGCACAAGGAGGACGCAGGGGTCATCTGCTCAGGTCTGTGCTTCACATTGTCTGTAGGGTGAGGGAGGAGGTGGGGCTTTCGGGGATGGGAGTCTGAACCTGGAGGTGGTGTTGCTGAAAGGGCCAGAGGAGAAAGCTTCCTTCCATAGTGCCTGTCTTTCTAGCAGTTATGAAGATTAGGTGCTTTCGTTTCTCCGACTGCAGCAGAGGTTCTGGTCCTTCCTTCTCGGCAGTATCTCCTGGCAGAGCCATTTCTCACAGAGTTTCAATTTGAAAGCAGAGCTCACTCTTCTGCTACCTATGGTAGTAAAATCTTGAGATCCTATTGCTGTTGTAACGAATTACCACATAATTAGTGTTTTAAAATAACACAAATTTGTTATTTGACAGTTCTGTACATTAGAAGTCTGACAAGGGTCTCACTGGGCTGGCATCAAGGTGATGAGAGGTCTGCATTTTTTCTGGAGGCTCTGAGGAAGATACCTTTTCTAGTTTCTAAAGGCGTTGTGTGTTCATTGGCTCATAGCTCCCATTCTTTTTCTTCAAACAGACAACATTGCCTCCCTCTGACCATTCTTGCATAGCCACATTTCCCTCTGACTGAAGCTGGGAAAGGTTATCCATTTTTAAGGGTAGTACGTCTGAGCATGTGATTACTGTTTCACCTGGTTAATCCACAATATTCCAGGTTAATCTCACCATCCCAAGGTCCTTATCTTAATTACATCTGTAAAGTCCCCTTTGCCATGTAAGGTAACATATTCAGAGGTTCCAGGGATTAGGATGTAGGCATCTTTGGTGGTGCATTATTCTGCCTTCCACTCCGCTATCCGCACTCCCTTTCACATACCTGTCAGAGGTTCTGTCAGGATGTAGGATTCAGCTTTCCCTCTACACAAAGTGCCCAGGTCAGTGGTCTCTCAGTTCGCATTCCACTGCATCATTGTGGTAGAAATAGAAAGACAGACACAAATGGGCAAAGTCAGGTAAAACGGAGACAGGTTTCCGTCTTGCCACCTGGTGGGTGCTTCCTCAGCAGAGCCAGCGATGTGTGTTCACAATCTGTGGGATAAAGAAAATCAGAGCATTGACTGGAATGCTCACTGTGCCCTGTATCTTCCCCCTTTCCATTTTAGAGTTCCTGGCCCTCAGGATGGTGAGCGAGGACCAGGAGTGTGCTGGGTGGCTGGAAGTTTTCTACAACGGGACCTGGGGCAGTGTCTGCCGCAGCCCCATGGAAGCCATGACCTTGTCCATGATCTGCAGACAGCTTGGCTGTGGGGACAGTGGCACCCTCAACTCTTCTGTTGCCTTTAGAGAAGGTTCTAGACCCCGGTGGGTAGACGGAATCCAGTGTCGGAAAACTGATACCTCTCTCTGGGAGTGTCCTTCTGACCCTTGGAAATACAGTTCATGCCTTCCAAGACAGGAAGCTTACATCATGTGTGCAGGTGAATTACTGTCTGTTTCTATTTGTCTCAACTCTGTGGTATGTTGTTAGTGAGATTTTATATTTTCAAATCTAAGTGATGAGTATAAGATAAGTCTACAAAATGAAGTTTGTATGAAGATTATTGAATCTACATGTTCCAATCTTGTTTCAAAGGAAAAGATAAGGAAGCCTGTGCTGACAGCCATTTATGTGAAAAATACTAAGTAGGTTGGGTTGAACATATGGGAATCATGAATAATGCTCTGATAAACTTTCTAAGGAATTGCTAACTAATTAGGAGTAGTTAAATGATATGCCCAACACCTTAAAGTAGTTAAGGGGCGGAGCAACGAATCAATATTGATTTCTGTGTCTCTTAAACTCATGGTGTTTTACTCTGAAATGCATCTACACAAGTCAGTCTGTTGGTAGGGCAACTTTCTTGCCTCCTCTCGTGAAGCACACCTGGCAAACTCCAAACCTGGGTAAAGGCAACCGCCTAAGTTCTCCTTGCCTGCACTGGACTAGTGAAAAAGGCAGGAGAATAACACACAGTCATGTTGCTAGTCTATATTTGAATTCATGCACGTAATCTTTACTGGACACTCCACACTGCCCCCAAGTTCTACTGTACTTCTTCAATATGTGTGCTTACCTTATCTTTAAAATTATATTTTACATTTTCTCTGCTCTCCTCACACTGTCAACACCTGATTCTCACTATCCATTCTCCAATCATGATCTTGCCTTTTACCTCACTGAGATATTAGAACAGTCCACCATGGACTCCTCATCTTCCTTTCACTCAGTCTACCGACTTGTGGTGTGTGCACATGCTCTCTACTTGGCTTCCTAGATTAGTGGCCTCAGTACTTATCTTAGGTCAGATTTTTTGCTCAGGCTATGGACTCTAACTACAGTCACCATGTCCAAGAGTTCATCTCTTCAATTATGCTCTCTGCCTCTGGACAATCAGTTTCTCCCTGACTCCTAGTATATTCTCATCAATGTATAAATGGGCTTAAGTATCCCACGTCTTGAAAAACACGTGAACAAATGAACATTTTTCCTTGACCCCAATTCCCTCCCTAGCTACTTCTTCATCCCTCTAATCTCTCCTCCACAGTCAAGTTTCCAAAAGTATGGCCAATAATCACTCTGTCTCCACAATCTTGTCTCCTACTAATCTGAACTCATTCAACTAAATTTTAGGCTCTACCATTCCTCAGAATTGGTGAGGAAATGAAATGTAGTCAATTTTTCTCTCTTCGTTGTTCTTGACCTTTCAGCAGAATTCAACACATTGACTTCTCTTTCCTTTGCAATTTTTTTTTCCTCCTGACAGTCACTCTACCTCATTGATTGTTCTTATTCTATGTAATTGATTGTTGTTCTTATTCTTACTGGGATGCAGTCTTCTTCTCAGCCTCTAGATCTTAGACATTACCAGGGCTCAAATGAGCCCTAATGGTGCCACTTCGTGGGTGCTTCCTCAATACAGTCAGCGATGAGTATCAGAGTATTAGACTCTCTACTCTTCCTTAGCTATACTCCTTCCCTAAGGCCCATGGCCTAAATTATATTTACACACTGACAACTCTCAAATATATACCTCCACAGCTGATCTCTGCCCTTAACTCTTCCCTTAACTCCAAACTCATATATTCCATTGCTACCTGACATCACCATTTGAATATCAATAGGCAACTCAACTTTAGTCCAAAGCAGAATGTTTGATTCCACCTTCTCAGTTCCTCTTCCTAACTTTTCCTCCCCTACTATATTCCTCATTTCAGTTAATGTCACTACCATTACTTAGTTACTTAAGTTCAATGTATAGAAGTCGACCTTCATTTCTCCACTTCCCTCATCCTCCACTTCCAATACAATAGCAAGTTCTGTTGGTTGTATCCTCAAATATAGCCTTAATCCTTCTACTCCTTCTATTTTCACTGTCATCTTAGTCCAGGAAAGATAACCTCTTGCCTGGACTATTGCAACAGTCTTCAGTGGTCACCCAGGTCCGCTCTTTCCCTGTATAATATATTCTGTCTCTGTCAGCCAGAGAGAAGTTTTAAAATTTAGTTTGCATCTTGTTTCTTGCTTATAAGCCTCCAGTGGCTTCCTATTCAACTTAAGATAAAATTCAGATTTCTTACACTGATTGACAAAGCCATACAGAATCTGTCCCCTACTCACCACTCTGTCCTCCTCTGCACTCACTCTTCCACTCAGCCGATACACATGTTGATTTTCTTTGTGTTCATGAAATAGACAGGCATGAGGGAAGTAAGGGAAGGCAGGCTGGCCATGCTTTGATGCCTCAGTATTCTTTACCAGACAGATGGTATTGTTCATCTTATGACCTTGCACCAGCTGTTCTATCTGCTTTGCTTGTCTGTCACTTTCTCATCATTCAGTTCTCACTTTAAATGTCATTTCCTTGGTGAGACCTCTCATATCAATTTAAATGCTATTACTTTTCCCAAAATTCTTTATGACATGCTCCTGACACTCCGTGGTTATCCCTGGCTACACTGATTGCTTTTCTCAATATATTCTGCAGGGTTCCAGTTCCTTTGCCTAACCTATTTTATGTTTTAGAACATATTTTTATGTTTTCCATAGTACTTACTATGAGAAATGATCATTTATTTATTTTTATGTTTATTATCCATCTCTCCTATTAGTTTATAAATTCCATGGTATCAAGGACTTTAACTAACTATTGTATTGACCAGTGTATATCCAGTGCTGTGGAGAGCACCTGGCATATGATAGTTCTTTTTTTTTTGTGAGGAAGATCGGCCCTGAGTTATCATCTGCCAATCCTCCTCTTTTTTGCTGAGGAAGATTGGCCCTGGGCTAACACCCATGCCCATCTTCCTCCACTTTATATGGGACGCTGCCACAGCATGGCTTGACAAGACGTGCGTCGGTGTGCGCTCGGGATCCGAACAGTCCAACTCCGGGCTGCAGCAGCCGAGCAGGCACACTGAACTGTTCTGCCACTGGGCCGGCCCCTATACGATGGTTCTTGAATGAATAAATCAGTTTTTTGATTGTGTAGTCAAAATTAAAAATACTTTCATGAAGGTGTAATCAAAACTAATTGAATGATTATTAAGCTGGAAAGCGAACTAATCAGTTTTGCGTTAAGAAAACATCCTTTGAGTACAGGATAAACAAAGGATTATTGCAGGGGAAATGTAGGTGCATAACGGTGACTTGGACAGTTTAGAGGAGTCAAGGGTGACTGCTAGAAGGATGGTAGTGCCTTTTATTGATTAGGAGACACAGAAACTCACGGGAGGACATACATGGGCTCCATTTTGAATATGTTAAATTCAAAGTGGGTGAGAACACTCAAACGAAGATGTCATTAGGCATTTAGAAGTATGCAATTTGATTTTAGAAAGGGAATCTGGGTGCTAGATATAAATTTGGGAAATGTCATAGAGATGCTTAGATGGAGTAGATGAGATCACTGGAAAATAAACATTCCTAGGACAGAATCCAAGGAACATTAACTTTTAAAAGCTGGGTAGCGTACCATGAACTGGCGTGGGATCTGATGCAGAGCAGACAGAGAAATAGGAATCCAGAAAATACCGTGTTTGGAAGTCAGGTTAAAAAAAATTTCAAGGAAAGGGGGATGGTCATATGTGTTAAATTCAACTAGGACATTAAGTAAATGAGAACTGAAAAGTGCTCAATAGATTTAGGTCATTATATGTCGTCGAATGCCTTAATGAGAACACTTTTAAGGGTGAGGGGTGGAAACCAGAAATAAAAGTATCAAAGAATAAAATGATGGTGAAAAATAGACGCAACCTTTTTGAAAAACTGTAAAGGGCAAAGAATGAAAAGTAAGGTGCTGAAGTGTTGTATCCAATGCTGGAAATAAATTTATTCTAATTACCACGTTGATTAATTTGTTGATGCACAGTAGGGTGAACTACCTGTAAAAGTGACACTGACGCATTTGATTGTCTAGGTGCATGTGTCTCAAGTGCAAAAACAATGGAAAACCATGTCACAGGGAGTCTATAATCAGGCTAATTAGCATAAATGCCGGAGTAGATGTAGCCTGATTGTTGACCTCAGATTATGAAGGACTTTCCTGTGAAAGAGGGAGGAGACTCACCATGAGCTGCTCCAGAGGGCGGGACACTGACTGATGGATGGAGGTTAAGAGGAGGCAGGTTTGGGTTCACTCTTAGTAGTTATCATAAGGGAATCTCACCCTGGTGATGGTCCCCCGGGGAAAGAACACTACTATCAGGCAAAAGGACACTGGCGGTGTGAAGGGATGGCCAGCACACCTTCTCTTATATCTCGTTTTGCCGGTCTCTGTGTCTCTTCCCTGAATCAACCATGCTTGCTCCTGCTAGGCTTGTACCACACTTGGCACTAGGGAGTTTGTGTCTTTTCCACTAGTTTGTTTTATGCTTAGAGAGAGACTGATTCCTTTCTCTTTCATTTAAATTACAAAAACATTACTTACTTATTGTAAGCAGGGAAGACATATAAAATGTAAAAAGTGAAATGTATCATATCCTATGACTCCTTCCTGATGTCTAATAGGACTAATAGACTGATATATACTATTTTCCAAATTCTTCCATTTTCATAAAAACATATTCAAACTCATACTCATAAAAGAATTGATCTTGATGGTGTCTTGTTATTTGTTTTTACAAAATTGGGATTATATCATACACATTGTTGCTAAATTGGCTTTTATCACTTAACAACATATCATGGATATTCCTCCAGGTAGGTATAACTCATTTGTAAAACAATGGCCTGATATTTTGTTCATGAGAGATTGATACTACAGTCCCTATAACCATTGCCTACATATTGGTAGTCCAATTGTTTTCAAATTTTTCCCCTCTACAATCAATTTTGTGATAAATATTTTTGTCATGTATCTCAGCATACTGGTGAATTTACTGCTATAGGATTATTTCCAATGTTGATAGTATTACGTCAAAGGATATATATACACATACACATGAGCGTACAGACACATAAATTTTAATATATATTGTCAAATTACTTTCTAAGACTAATTATTATTATTATTTATTTATTTTTTGGTGAGGAAGATTAGCCCTGAGCTAACATTTGTTGACAATCCTCCTCTTTTTGCTGAGGAAGATTGGCCCTGGGCTAACATCCGTGCCCATCATCCTCTACTTTATATGTGGGATGCCTGCCACAGCATGGCTTGATTAGCGGCACATATGTCCACACCTGGGATTCGAACCTGCAAAACCCCAGGCCGCCGAAGTGGAGCGTGTGAACTTAACCACTACACCACTGGGCCGGCCCCAAGACTAATTATTTTCAGTTGTCTTCATCATATCTGATAGAAAATGCTTGAATTTTTTGATAACTTGACTGTTAAGCTAAAGTCAAATCATAGAAGCTCCAAAATCATTAAGCTTACAAAGCCCACAAGTCTCATCCTAAGATAGTTGAAGTCTGAAATAAAGATGGCAGTTGCTTTGCTCCTGGTTTCTTTCTCCTTCCTTCCTATCCTCCCTGCCTTCCTTCTTCTCTTCCTTCTTTACTTTCTCCCTCCCTTCCTTCTTTCTTTCCTCCTTCCTTCCCTCCTTACCTTCCTTCATCTCTCTCGCCTTTCCTCTCTCTCTCTCCCTTCCTTCCTTCCTTTATAGTTTCAGTGTTTTCTCTTCCTTCAAAAATTTTTTTCATACCACTTGGTTCTCTCTCTCTTTCACACACAGACAGACAGACAGACAGACACACACACACCATTCAGGTTTACCCTGGATGATATGCTAAGAGTTGCCTGAAATCCACTGCTGAGGGAGAGTGTGACCATAGACATTTCAAATTAGAGGCTCACTCCCTTCCTTGCCTCTCTTTCTTCACCTCTTTTTCTTGCTGCTGTGGAAGGATGAAGAGATATTAAACTATAAGAGCTAATATAGATGATAATTTTCTATAATCAAACCTGATGAGTTGAGAGGTAGTGAGGTCTCCAATCCTGAAAGTGAGCAACCACCCAAAGGACGTCCTGCCATCATTTTCAGAGATGTTCACTGCTTAGGGTAGGAGGTTTGATAGGATGATGTGGAAAGGATATGCCATTCTGATATTGTATGACAAGTATTGTGTATACTTCTGTTGTTTTGAATTTATGTCTATTTCCTCTGGTTTCAATTCTTTTATGTGGTTTTTTTTTGATCCTGTGTTATCTCTGTGTTCTCTTAATGTAGTTTTCTCAGTATATTTATTTGACTCTCATTCAGACATATATGTCTTACAAGCTAGCTATCTGTCTACTTATCTATCTTTGTTTAAATTCTGCTTGTTCTATTCCTTTAAAAAAACATCTTTCCCTATAGTAATCTCTGTTGCTTGTCTATATGTCATACTGAAAAATAGATGAGAAAAGTGTAGACTCTGTTAAATAATTTCCCTTTAAAAAGTATAAGCAGAATATTGAATACAAATTACTTCTGTGATTCTGGACGTTTTTTCCCCCCATGGCTTTTAATTACTTATTTTTTTGTGAGGAAGATTGGCCCTGAGCTAACATCTGCCAATCCTCCTCTTTTTTTGCTGAGGAAGACTGGCCCTGGGCTAACTCCATGACCATCTTCCTCCACTTTATATGGGACGCCACCACAGCATGGCTTGACAAGCGGTGCGTTGGTGTGCGCCCGAGATCCGAACCAGTGAACCATGGGCCGCTGCAGTGGAGCGCGCGCACTTAACCGCTTGTGCCGCCGGGCTGGACCTGGACTTATTTTTTTTAATACTCACTATTTATTACTACAAACCATTAATATTAGTTTGTATTTCCTTTAATATCTTACTGATTGGCAAGAATTTAAAGGAATTATATTTCACTGGATTTTATTCGTCTATTCACTCATTCAATAAATATTTATCAAGCCCCTATACATAGTATTTATAGAAGGTTTTCTGTACATACTTGTTGAATGAATGCATACAACGTGCCAGGCACTGTCCTGATAGCAGAAACACTGAGGTGAATAAGGTATGCAAGGTCTTTCCTCTCGTGGAACTTTCATTCAGGGGTGTGTGTGAGTGTGTGTGTTATGTGTATTCATGTCTGTGTTTGTATTTGTTGTGGAATGTGGAGAGTGATAGATGAGTAAACAGATAAAATAATTTCAGCTGGTGACAAGCGGTTACATCCAGTGAAGGTGTCAGTAACCCAGCCCAGTAGATTAATTATGAAGCCTGTTATTTTTGCTTGTCATTTGGACTGATCCACGGACCTTAGGTAATCTTGTTTGTGGACCAGACCGCCCCCAGCTGTCCCTGATCCAGTGCTTCCCCACTGTCTGCTTCTGCAGGAATGAGACCCAAGAGCTGTCCAACTGCTGCCCCCTGCACAGGTACATCAGCCCCTCCTACCTCCCCTGTTGGCTCCCAGGGGCTGCTTCCTTCCCACCAGGGGTGGTAACAGGAGGCGCTGCTGCCTTTTCAGACAAAGAGAAGCTCCGACTGAGGGGAGGAGACACCAAGTGCTCAGGGAGAGTGGAGGTTTGGCACGAGGGCTCCTGGGGCACCGTGTGTGATGACTCCTGGAGCTTGGCAGAGGCCGAGGTGGTGTGTCAGCAGCTGGGCTGTGGCTCTGCCCTGGACGCCCTGCCGAAGGCGGCGTTTGGCCTAGGAAATGGGAGGATCTGGCTGGATGAGGTGCAGTGCAGGGGCAGGGAGTCCTCCCTGTGGGCCTGTGCTGCGAAGCCCTGGGGGCAGAGCAACTGCAAGCATGAGGAGGATGCTGGAGTGAGGTGCTCTGGTGAGTGGAAGAGCTTGGCTTTGGCCCTGGTTTTGCAGGGGTGGGGGCAGGATAATGGGCTGGGCTAGAGTAAGATGGAGAGTTTTATTCAGAAAGCATCTAGGTGCTGTAGCCCTGGATCTATGAGAGGGGAGTTGGGAGGACTCAATGTTGATATTGTGGTAACTGAGGGGTGATTTCAGGGCTCAGGCAGGAAAAATGGGCTGTCCTGCATTCTGACCAATTTCTGTGCTCCAAACTCCTGTTTTTCTCTCTAGGTGAAAGAACAACATTGCTCCCCACTACAGCAGGTAGAGTGCCACAATCCACGGGCAGGCGAGAATGTTCAGATTCTTGGGACCCATTCTGTGGAATCTCTGACAGAATTAGTCAACTCAGGAAAGGAAAGATCCTGAGGAGCCACTGGCTGGTGGGAAGGCATCAGGGCATTTTCCTTGGGGAAACTTCCCCTTCCTTGGACCACTGTGCCAGAAGTTTCTCATGCCTTTTGTCCAAGGGAGGCTGGTTCCTGTGTTGCAGAATCTAAGATTTTTCCACCTGCCCATGAGTGTCTCTCCTCAGCAGCAAGATGCCTATACCAGTTGTTTGATGCTCTGGTCTGGTGAAGCCGAAGAAAAGGGGCTGCAGTTGTGTGCCCTGACCCCCAGAGGCTCTGTAGCAGGAAAGCTCCCTGAGAATCCCGAGCACCCCCTTGGACCACAGTGGAGGGGGGCTGAATTTATTTCAGGACAAGGCATGGGGGGTGCCCCCCAGGGTCACAGGTGATCCCGTTATGTCTGAGAGTGGACTTCATTGTCCTGAGCTCTCTGGAAATGCTGGCACAAGGGAGTTTCCCTATGCCCATTGGCTTTGTTCTCCTTAGGGACCAGACCAGGTGCAAATCCAGTCTCTGCCATCTTCTCCCTGCCTGGGATCCTCTGCCTCATCCTGGGGGCCCTTCTCTTCCTGGTCCTTGTCATCCTGGTGACTCAGCTGCACAGATGGAGAGTAGAGCGCAGAGGTGGGCTATAGGGGTCATTGGGTAACATGGAAAGTGTGTAGAGGCAGGAAATGGGGCCAGGTGTGACAAGTGGAAAACTGGGCAAGGTCTTTGTTCTTACCACATTAGTTTGCAAAACTCTATCTGCCCCATGTTAAACTCTAAGGGCTTAATATACAGAGGTCCTTAGGATTCATAAATCACGGCCTGTTATGTGAGACAAGAAAGAGTAGGGGCTGAGCTGTGGATACAAGAGCAGACAAGGGTAGAAGGTGCAGACATGGTGCTCAGGATATTGGACTATAAAAGGTCCTTGCCAGCCCTGAGTGTTTTTTCGCGTGTGAGCATCAGGGACAATGAAGGATTAGCCTGTTGGTTCAGGGGTGTCTCAGGTGGCAATCTCTCACCTGCTTGTGGTTTGCTCAGCCTTGGCCAGTTTCGAAGATGCTGTTGATCAGCCTGTGTATGAGGAGATTGATTCTCTTGTAACAATGAAGATGAAGGATCTGCTGGGCAGCCCAGGTATGTGTCCCTGCCTTGCCTTCCTGGGACCTCTGGTTGTCAGCCACACACTGGCTATGAGCCAAGTCTTCTCAGCACCTGCAGACCTCACATCTATCCCAGGCTCACAGAGACAGCCTTCTACAAAGGCCACCAGAATTGGGCTCGCCAAAGCCACTGTGAGCTCTGAGCCTTCCCTTTACACTACAGGAACCAAGCCTGTGCCAGCATTTCATCTCAGCCTTACCGCAGAGTCAATGGGTGTGGGAAGTGTTGTTCTGTTTGTTTTTGTGATGTTTTTCTCCACATTAGGGTCTCTGTCAGATGACTCAGTGACTAATCTGCCATATTATACTGGTGATGGTGCAGAGAACATTGACTATACATACGTTCCAGGTAGGAGAGGTGGATCTGCCTTGGCTGGGTATTGGGGGCAGGAGATTTTCCCTCATAGAGAAGAGATCCAGGGGGAACAGTCTTCCATTGACTGGGATTAGAGGGGTCTCTTGTCTCCAGCTGGGGTCCAGTCTTCTCCTCCTCTGGCTGCTCTGTGATGCCTCATGTTGAGGCCGGGCTCTCTGTCCACAATGACCCTTATTCAGTCACCACATGCACACATTATTTTAAAAAATAACATATGGAAGGCATAATCTGTCAGAATATTTTAGTAATGCTCATTGGTTTAAGAGTATTTTTTAAATACATAGCTTTAATCAAGAGATATTGAGTTATTTGGATCATTTTTTTGCTTTATGGGCATATCAAAATGAAATGAATGGTCTTGGAAAAGACCTGTTCAGTCATGGAGTGAATGGTGCCTCTATTTAGCAGCCATAAGAACCTCCAGGTCAGAGGGATTTTAGGTATTACTTAGGCCAATCCATGTATGCCTGTTTCACCTAATCCCCTTGTTTGCTCTTAGAACCCCCAGTTCCGAGGACTGATGCCCCTAGTGAGGGTTATGATGATGCTGAAGAGGTACCAGTGCCTGAGGCTCCTCCTGCCTCTCATATGAGTGAGGGGGATGTGCCCCCAGAAGAGGAGAATGGCATGAGGGCCTCTCAGACAGGTGAGCAGGGTTAGTTGATCTCTTGTAATCTTTTGTCTCTGTCCCGGAAAGGGTGAATCAATGCCCATTTTTCCTGTAGATTCAAAATTTGGATGACCTCATATGTTTAATAGCATAACCTCATCCATATTCCTTCCTTTAATATTGTCAGATTTCTTGGGAGGGAGGAATCACTCTATATTCCTGGTATCTATGTCTCCATAACCTTATCCTTGATGTGCCTGCATTAATACTTACAGATTAATTGAGCATATTTACCAAATCCAAAACTGGAACAACTGTTCTGATAACATTTTTGTGTTGACTCATATGTGAAAAGCAGTAATGGATTTAAAAATTAATGCACTTTTGAAAATTGTGAGGAATTTTGATAACTCAAGATGCACTGTGATCATGTTACCACTGATATGAACAAAGTCTATGATATATGGTGGCCTTAAAAATTAAAGCCATGGTGGTGGATTATAAACTCAGAATTGTGTGCAGCTAAGGGCTAATCTGCTCCAGACATTGCAACAGTTAAATGAAGGCTCTCATTCTCCAGAGAAGAGTATTTCTGCATCTTAGCGCCCATGTGATTTCTTGGGGAGGAGCAACAATGGAAGGATCCTCTGATTGTTTTTCTGGGTGTTTTGGAACACAAGTCAGGACACCAAGAGCTGAGTTAGAGCTGAGTTAGAACTGTCAGTGAGGAACTAAGATTTCTCTAGATGTGGTCTCCGGTCTCCTTCTACTTGTAAATTCAGACTTGTCAGTTGTGAAAGGAAGATTTTTCACATCTGTCTTGTGATTATTACTACTCTTGTGCCATCTCCTTGCTGATTCTGTAAGCCAGGAAACGAGTCTTCACAGAGCACCTGTGTTGGCCACAGATCTCCTGTGATCCAGTGTTTCTCAGATAAACTGAGGCCCTAGAGACCCACATGGACTGAATCCTGATAGGATAGCCCTGATTTATCCTTGTTGTAACTAATATTAACTACTCTGTGCCTCCCTGAGCTTTAGTGGGTCCTCAGGGGTGCTTTTCATCATCACTTACTTGACTTGCTTCCACCGTGGAGCACTGTCTTATTCCTTTGTCACAGTTATAATCAAACTTTTCTTTACTGTTTTAGGCTCTTCTCTACAGTTCCCTAGAGAGGCGGCTGATCCTGGGAAAGGAGAAGATAGCCCTTGGCTGCTCCAGGGGGAAGAAGGGTACCCTGGGTATGATGATGTTGAGCTAAGCGCCCCTGGAAAATCTACAGTGGCTTTCCCGTGATGCTGTACAAAAATGAGATGAGGCCACAGATATTCTAATTGCCTGTATTCCACTAGAGTAGTGCTGACCTATAGTTGTATTATATGGAAATTTCTCAAAACTAAATATTCTGAATAAAATTTGCTTTGTTGATAATTTAGCAACTTTCATCCCAATTTCTCTTAAAGGATTGGTCGTCAGTCACAGTTTCCCTCAAAAGAAATACCAGGTAAGTGAACTGACCTGTTTTCTCAACTCCCCCACAGGCTACTCAAGGCATTACTTTGCCCAGGCTCATGAGTGTTCCAGGTCACTCTTACTTAGAGAACGGACTCTAAACTTGGTCCACACTCATACCCTCACTCCTAGCAACGAACTCATGGGACAAAACCAATCCTGCACGTTCATGTATGTTCTTCTCTGAGATGTCACAGCATCTGTTTTGAAACAATTCCTAGGAACCAGACTTGGGTATGAGTTTCAAAGTTGAAGGTGAGAGGCTGGCTAGTGGGAGAGAAGGGATACAGCTTTCCTTATCCTGCCCAATTTTTCAATTAATTATCTAATTCTACATAACTATCTCTTTTTTTTCCCATCTCTAATTCCCTTGGTTGCTTTTTCCATTTATTATTCAATCCCATACAGACTCCTCCTTACTCTTGTTTCATGTCTAGTTGGTTATCAAATCCTATTAAACTCAGTCTTTCTTCTCCATCACTTCCTCTTATTTCTTTGGCACATTGTCATTTCTTGTCTATCCAGTTATAAAGCCTTCTAAGTGAATTATATCAGCTCATATCTTTCTTCATTGCTAGTTGATGGGGAACAAATTGGCACTCACCCACAGATCTGTATCCTGGTGGGACAAGAAGACAAGGAAGAGGAACCCCAGGCAGAGGAGATCCAGAAAGATTATAGACTCTTTGGTTTTACAGATGTGAATGGAAGAGTCTTACGTGATTGAACTATCAGAGGAAGAATTTCAGACCAGTGGGATTCCTCTCTGAGAACACATTGCTTCAAAATTGTTTTGACCGGGTAACTGTTTAAAATGCAAACATGATCCTGCTGTGATTCTTCAGTGTAGAGAGAGCTATCCTCTAGCAGTGACCAGGAAAGATCACATCTCCAAAACACCCCATTACATAGTGAATGTGTGGAGGGGTTGCTGAACTAATACAAGAACTGAGCATGGTGGCTTGGTTATGAGCCAAGCCCAACCTATTACTTAGTTGATGGCTCTGGATGCTGTCTGCAGGTCCAATTTGTACTCAGTCTTGCAATTGTCATAATTTTTGGCAAGGCATGGAGATTGGAAGATGCCCAGGTCTTCTCCCCATGCCAAATACATGGTCACTGGCCATAGGGAAGTGATGAAAGCAATGACAGAATAAAGTATACTCAACAAGATTATTATTTTATTCCTGGTACATGATATCAACAAAGCCAAAAATAGAGAGCTAGCTACTACAATTCTTTCTTTTTGTGAAGAAGATCAGCCCTGAGCTAACATCTGATGCCAATCCTCCTCTGTTTTTGCTGAGGAAGATTGGCCCTGAGCTAACATTCATGCCCATCTCCTTCACTTTATATGGGACGCGGCCACAGCATCGCCTGACAAGGGGTGCATTGGTGTGCTCCTGGGATCCGAACCTGCGAACCCTGGGCTGCAGAAGCGGAGCGTGTGCACTTAACCGCTTGTGCCACTGTGCGGCGCCCCCCCCATAGCTACTACAATTTTTAGTAATAAGAAATATTAAGGAAGCTTCACTACCCAGATTTGGGAGAGTTCCAGGGTGAACCCTATTATGGATTGGATGCTCCAAAAGTAGGCAGAAATTGGGGGACAGACTTTCAGAGTGTTTAGACTCGAGGAGATAAGTGGCAGTCATTCCAAGTGATCTATCTTGCCTGTGAACGAGTCTTTTGTGAGGGGGTGGTTTTGGAGGGCGTCTCATTCCGGGGTCTGCAGCAAAAGCCAGAAAACTTCTCTGCATGGTAGTAAGTATGACAAAGCAGCTAGACTGTCATGTGGGGCATGAATTTATAGGAAATTTTTTCCTATTAAGAGTGGAGTTTGCATATGAAGCTTAGAGGCCTGTCTGATGTTATTTGGGAGGACTCCTTAGAAGTCTCTAGAATGTCCCAGAACTTCTCAGGTAAACACCCATAAATACCTTACTCCAGGCAGAGTGGAGAAAGTCACAAAGACATGAAAATTTCAGGGTTTATGTGACATACCAAGTTCCAGTTTAATAACCTAGTTTGGCAGGTAACAATATGATCTCTACAGGGAACAATGAAGTTGCAGGAGTCATTGCAGCAGCATCATGAGCATGACCATCACAGAGCTGGTCAAAGCCTGTATGGAACTGGTCACCTCAGCAGTAACAGGAGTAAGAAGTGAGGCTAAAAGGAATTTTTAACATTGAAATATAATTGATATATAACATTACATTAGTTTCAGACATACAACATAATGACTCAATATTTGTATGTATTGCAAAATGGTCATCACAATAAATCTAGTTCAGAGGATTTTGAAATGGTGCACAAGAGCTGCCCAATACAAGTTAATTTCTAAGTCAGAACCAGATGATAAAACTTGGCACAGCCAGATATTATCAATCTATAGCCCAAATTTTTGGCTTGGGTGATATGGCTTAAATGAAATTCTTTTGTGACCAAAAGTAGTAAATCTGTGGTAGTGGAACCATCAGACATGGTCATCCCTCACTTTATGTGAACTTCTAATACTGAAGTGCCACAGAAGATGAGTTATCAATCGAGGGTCAAATGAATCATAGAATTTACCCAACACCAAGCTTTACAGGAAAAGTAGACACAAACAAAGAATCTGTCTCAGAGGGGCCCCAAAGTGGCAGATGCACCTTCCTAAAAGCTCTCTTTTCACATTGGGACACAGGTGAGTTCTAACTATGTGGGTGGTACAAGTTGAAACAAAAAAAGCCATTTAGGGTTGGGGCTTGTCAGTTTTTACACTTTGTTAGTGATACAGGTAGAGAATTTTTGTGATTAACTTCCATCCTTCAATCAGCCACATCCCCAAAATAGGTCCAGGTTTGTATATAATAATCGATCTTGGCAGAGCAGGTACCTCCTGATAAAATATTTTTAGGCAAGTATTTCCTTGGGTATCTTCTAGTTAGCAAAACCCATCGGAATGTTTTCAAAGAGCTCTGGTTGAGGTTAACGCTGCCTTGATGTCCTGGAGCCAGAATTCAGCCAATTTACAGACCGGTTGTTAACGCTTTCCTTGCCAGAAACATATGGATTTAGGTCAATGACACAAAAAGAAATGAAGGATATTCTATGAAGCTGAAAACACACACAATCCTGTGGTGTTCATTTTGTATTTTTACCAAATTTATGTATGAATTTAAAGAGTCAAAAGCTAGATAAGACTTCTTACTAGAAATACTAGTCCTCACTCCTGCCTTCCCTGCTCACTCAGGTGTGTCAAACATTTTAAAACACTTTTTCTTGATTTTTGGATATCTTCCTAAAGATATTTATATAATATCTTATTTTTTTTGCTGTTTTAGTCAGTTATCTTTACCTTCCCACTACGGAAAAGGAGAATTTAGTACACTTTCATTAAACTCTCACCTTTTTTAACTCCCATACTTTCTCTACCTGCAAATTAAATGCTTCACATATTCCTAGCCCCCTAATATAGCTATATTATAACTTTGGTAGATTAATATTCATAATTTATATTATTATGATTATATACACTGTCCCTATTTGAGTCATGTAGTATGCAGTGAATACTTTTTCTTTTTCTGCATGATGTTTTAATTTCCTTTGATTAAATTATTTTGTTTTTCCCTTTGATAGATTGATATTTTTAACACTAATTTTACCCCCAAATGTCTGTTAATTCCTTAAATTACTTCAAAAGATATTCAGACACTTACATGTTCTATCATTTTGAATTTCCTTAATAAATTTGTCCCAGATCCTACTATAATATCATGCACAGTTATCATTCTGGGATCTCTTTACATCATCACATTGGAGATTCCCTTGACTTCTCTTTTTGGATTATCTTTCTTTTTCATTCACAATTTTGTATGGCAGAGTACATCCTCTAGTAGCTTCCTGCCAAAGTAAGCGGGAAAGAAAAATTTGAGAATCAGGTGTCTAAAAAGTCTTTATTCTCCCTCATTCTTGATTAATAGTACAGCTGGATTTAGGCTTTAGGTTGGAATTTTCTTTTCAAAACTCTGAAGGCTTTACTTTATTGATTTTCAGATTCTTTTATGCCGGTTCATCAAATGTCCTTGATCTGATTTACATCCTTTATACTCTTAGTTTCTGAGTTTTTAGTGAAATAGAGTGAGAGTGATGTTTAAATTTGGACCAATCTTTGTGATCTGGCCCAGCTAGCAGGTCTACCTGGTAGATGAGGCTCCTGTCTTAGATGAAGGATTAAAGATACTGAGTTCACTAAGGATAGTCTTTTACAAGAAAGGGTGAAATTCGGTTTAAGATTTTATTTTATTTATTTTTCCCCCCAAAGCCCCAGTAGATAGTTGTATGTCACAGCTGCACATCCTTCTAGTTGCTGTATGTGGGACGCGGCCTCAGCATGGCCGGAGAAGTGGTGTGTCTGTGCGCGCCCGGGATCTGAACTCGGGCCGCCAGCAGCGGAGCCCGCGCACTTAACCACCAAGCCACGGGGCCGGCCCCAATGAAATTCGGTTTAAAACTTGTCTTTAGAAGATGAGCCTTGTTATCAATATAGACATTTATATGGCTGATTAGTTACTGTAAATCATAGTCTTCATCAAACTGTTCAGTGATTCTCAGAGGGTCTTAGTGTTCTCTGTTCAGCAACGTTAATGGTCATCTAATAGAGGGCTTTGATTTGATTGACTGGTATCTTTACTCTGTCCAAATTTGAGAATCTCAGTTTTGCATACCTTTTCTTCTCATTTTTTGGGGGGATGGATCTAGTTTTCGTGCAGCTAAAGGTGGCAATTTTTGCAACCCTT